CTTCCCTCCCCTCTTTTTTTTAAGTACCAATTTATTTTTATTATTTTTATTTTTTTATTAGTTGCTTATGACAATACAATGAGTCAAAGGGAGTAATAATGACTGTCAAGCCTCTACAGTCATGTGAATGAGCTCCTTAAAAATTTCTTTACACACACACATAGAGGGAAAGAGAGCGAGAGAGTGAGTGATCTTGACATATCATACATTTGATTCAAACGGGGTATGAATTCTCATTTTTCCACRTGTACAGGTTGCAGGATCACATTGGTTATACAGTCACGCATATACATACAGCAATACTAGTGTCTATTGTATTCTGCTGCCCTTCCTATCCCCCCTCCCCTCCCCTCCCCTCCCATCACCTCTCTCTACCCAATCTACTGTGACACATTTCTCTCTCTTTTTTTTTTCTTCCCCCTCACATCATCATACATATATTTTGTATAACGATGAGGGTCTCCTTCCATCTTCCATGCAATTCCCCTTCTCTCTCCCATTCCCTCCCACCTCTCTTCCCTATTAAGTGGTAGTCTTCTTCTCATGCTCTTCCTCCCTACTCTATTTTGAGTCACCCCCCTTATATCAGAGAAGACATTCAGAATTTGTTTTTTAGGGATTGGCTAACTTCACGTAGCATAATCTGCTCTAATGCCTCCCCTCTTTTTTCTTTTTTTCTTTTTTTTTCTGTTTGTATCATTGCACTGTCCAGGAATCCCTGTATGATGCTGAACAGGAATCGTGCTTATTCCCAATCTTGTAGGAAAAGCATTAAGACTTTTATGACTAAAAATAGCTGTTAGTTGCAGGTTTTTACAAATGACCTTTATCAAGTTAAGGAAGTGTGCTCCCTCTTKCTCGTTCACACACACTCTCTTGCTCTCTCTCCCTCTGTGTGTGTGTGTAAAGAAATTTTTAAGGAGCTCATTCACATGACTGTAGAGGCTTGACAGTCCAAAATCTGATGGAAATGCGGATGGCAAGCTGTGCAGTTTAAATCCACAGGCAGTTTGCTRTAGAAACTGGAAAATAAAATCCAAAAGCCACCTAGAAAATTCCCCAGGAACTTCACTTCAACTCTTAGTTTGTTCAGAATTTGTTTTTTATTTGTTCTCACAATAAATGGATGTTGTATCTTGTCAAATGTTTTTGCATCTATTCAGGGGCCATATGTGTTTTCCTCTATGRTATGTCAATATGGCAAATATGTCTATTGACTTTTTTTTCTTTTTTTGCAGTGCTGAGGATTGAACCAAGTAACTTTTTCTTGAATGTTGAACCAGCTTTTCATTTCTGATAGAAACCTCAGGTCATGATCTATTATATTTATTATATATTTCTGTGCTTAATTTGTTCATACCTTATTGAGACTCTTTGAATCTATTCCATGAGGGATAACTATATCATTAGTTTCATTGTAATAACTTTCTGTGGTTTTAGCACTAGGGGAAAGCTGGCCACATAAAACAAGATGGAAAGTCTTCCTTCTTCTATCTTCTGGATAGGAGAGTTATCATTATTTCTTGCCAAGCACAGTGGCACACACCTGTAATCTCAGTGACTTGGGAGGTTAAGGCAGGAAGATTGCAAGTTTAAGGCCAGCCTCAGCAGCTTAGCAAGAATCTGTGTCAAAATTAAAATTAAAAGGGCTGGGGATGTAGCTCAGTGATAAAGCACCCTGGGTTCAATCCCCAGTACCCAAAAAAATTATTATTATTATTATTATTATTATTATTATTATTATTTGTTAATTAATCCCACATATCCTTCAGGGCCTGAATGTGAAATCATATCATCCATGAACAGTTTCCCATCCCATAATTCTGTCTAGAATTAACAATAATAATAGATGCCATGGCATTGCATGCTGTGACAGCACTAGTCCTACGAATGAGCATTCATCATTTATTATTGTATCTAACTTTCTTTGCAGCCCTATGAGAAAACAGAGCATTACTGTTTTACAAATGGGTAAATCAAAATGGTTAAGTAACTTTTCCAAAAGCAAATATCTTTTATCTGATTATCAATTTTTTATTGATAATTGTTTTTATTGAACAGCCTATTCAATTCCAAGGTGCCAGGAATTAAACCCACTATTGCTCCTGCTCCCTTCCCCTCTTTTTCAGTCTGGKGAGCTGATTCAAAGTGCAAATTTCTAAGCTCTACCCCATTTTTCTGCAGGTACAAACTCTAAGGAGCTAGAACCAAGAATGTGCATTTTTAGTAAGTGCCCAGATAATTTTAATGCACACTCTTACTTAAGATTAGCTCTTAATTACATTCAGTCTTGTGTGAATAGCTGTCAGTTCCACATCCATCCCTGACTAGACCTCAGCTCCCTGCAGGCCCTTGCCTCAGTCAAGCTCCCTCAGACTGTTAATGAAAATGATGTGGACTGACCCATGCTCACTCTCATACAGGCTCTCTGAGCATCTTTACTGACTCTGTGTCACAAATCCTCATCAGCTGTGACTGAAGGAAGCAGAGGCAGAAATCTTGTCAGCAGAGCTAGAAGGATCTATGGAGATAATCTTCATCCACCTTATAAACTGATACAGAAATTGACGAGAAACGACTTACTAGTGTCACACATCAAGTCCCCCAATGCTGAAGAACAGCATCTGAGTCTCCTCATTCCCAGAATGAGGTCTTCTCCACTTCACAGCAGGTAAAGGAAGCATGAGCATTCCATTCAGGTGGGCTTCCTGGAGAAGGTGAGCTCTCCGAGGACACTTATGTGAGTTGACAAAAAAGGGAGTCTGATAAAGAGGAGAGAGGAGGCAGACTCTGGAGAGGGCCTTGGTGGGAGGGGCATGTCCCAGATTCTGACTAGTCTATGATGCTTGGAGGAGGGAGAGATCCCCTCTCCAGAGCTAGCCCTTGCCCATTATCTCTGAGAGCCTCAGGCCCACATCTCTCAGAGTTCATGTCCAAAGTTTATGTCCATCTGCTCTTTGAGTGCAACATAAAAGTAGCATATGTCTGAGTAGATCCAGGAAAAAACAGGCTGTCTCTGGAGGGATGGAGAAGAGGAGCCTTGAACACAGAAGGGGTCAGGGCTTCGGCCTTCTGATAGGAAGTTAGGTGGTTGGGAATAAAAGCCGCCCCCTTCCTGCCTCACCTCTTCCTCCCCTCAGAAAGTTCTCAGAGTGGCTCACAGATCCTGAAACCTGAGACAGTGCATGAACTTGGGGGTGGAGGCCAGGTTTCTAAACTTCCTTCTTGAGTCTTACCTCCAGTTACCTTACCTAAATTCACTGACTGCCGAAGCACCCTTCCTGCCCCAAGTGTCGGTGAAACTAGTTTCTGTTTGTGTTCATGTTTACACAACCTGTATACCSTAAAACAGCCAGCCCCCTGTACTTCTTCCCAGCGTGATACCTTAGCCTTGCCCAGACTGGGGCCAGGGCAGTCCTTAGGACCCTGCTCTGAGCAGCAGACCCCCTGGAATGCTCAGCCTCTGTTGTCACCTTGCCATCATGGCGCCCACAGAGCTCTTCCTGCCCAGCCTGGGGCTGTAACCTGGCTAGTCCAGGCCAGGGAAGGTGTCTGTATCTATGAGTGTTGCTCTCCTCTAGAGCCACTGCCATTTCTTGAAGTCATTCTTGCACCCTCTGGGGGAAAGAAGAGGGTCACAAACTCAATCGGGCCTCACCAAGTTCTTAGTGCTGGAATGAAATCAGAGGAAAAATGATCCTCAGGATTCTTTTTTTAAGTTGTTTTGAAGCCACATCTGCTGCACCTGAATACTACATATGTGAAGCTTGCTTTCACCCACCCAAGCTACCAACTCTCTTTTGGGCCACTCTGGCCAAACTGTTTGACCCTTCCCTATCTCCCTGAGAGCTCAGGGGAGCCCTTCAGGAGAAGGGGCCAAAATAATTTTCATGCCCACAGAGGAAGGCCATACTGATTGGGACATTCATGGGTGCCCATGGATTAGGGGAGAAGGGTTTTTTACATGGTCAGGGTAATGGGACTTCTCTGCTGGGAAAACAGAAGTTACTTACTCTGGAGACATCATCACAGCCCTCCAGATGCTTCCCAGGTGTTTCCCTTAGCCTTGCCCAGAGCACTAGGGAGTGTAGCCTKCAGGGGGAGAGGACACAGTCTAGACCAGCCTGGCAGAATTCTGCCTGGGAAGCTCAGAACTGCAGAAGCCTGGGTGCGTGCTTAGGGGCTGGGCTAATTTGCCTTACCAAGAAGTCCCCTCTGAGCAAAGCTCTTGCCAGAACAGGAAAGATGCTTCTTGAGAACAGTGCTTCTTTCTAGGAAGACAATTTTCCACAAATCCCCCCGTCCACCAGCTGGTGATGCCATAGTAAGTCTGGCAAATACTTTCTGAGGGCATCACAATCCACCCCTTTGCTTTCAGAAGAAAACACCCTGGACCTCTCCAAGCCACACTTCCCCAGGGGGACCTGCCCCTCCTCCAGGACTCCCTCTTTGGTCATTTCCAAATCTTCTTTTTCCGTGGCTACCCACTTCCACTTCCACCGAGACTTGACGTCAGACAAATGAGACTTGACATCAAACAACATGAATTGCAAATGAAGTTTATTGGGCAGACACCCCGACCACAGCACTTCAGAAAGCATTGATGAGGGGGGCTATGTACACAGAAGCATGTTTCCCCAGGCACCTCCAGGAGAAAGGCGAGAGCTTTGAGATAGAATTGGTAGGCCGCACTGGAGTGCTCAGCAGAAGACCTGCCTGGAAAAGAACTACCAAGTGGGCATTGCAGGGACATAAGGGACCAGGAATGGGGCATGGCTGGAAGAAAAATTTGGACAGTGAAGTTTTTCCCCAGAATACAATGGGTATCACTGGCTCTAACTAACTGGTTTGGAAAGATCTTTCAAAAACTGTATATGGACATCCCTTTCCCCCAAATGCCTTCAGAGATGGCATTTGACAGAATTTGACTTGATGTCAGTTAGAGGCACAGAGACAGGCTTCTACATTCTGGAGTGGAAGAGTCGGGAAAGGACACCATCTTATCTAAAAGAAAAGGTCACACTGGAACCACAACCTTCACCTGAGCCAGAGCCACCCTTTTCAGAGCCAGAAACTCCCCCTCCAGAGCCAGAGCCTCCTCTGGAACCACCTCCAGAGCTGAATCCTCCTCCAGAGCTAGAACCTCCTCTGGAGCCTCCTCCAGAGCTGAATCCTCCTCCAGAGCCGGAGCCTCCTCGGGAACCTCCTCCAGAGCTGTATCCACCTCCAGAGCCAGAGCCTCCTCTAGAGCCACCKCCAGAGCTGAATCCTCCTCCAGAGCTGGAGCCTCCTCTAGAGCCACCGCCAGAGCTGAATCCTCCTCCAGAGCTGGAGCCTCCTCTAGAGCCACCGCCAGAGCTGAATCCTCCTCCAGAGCTGGAGCCTCCTCTAGAGCCACCGCCAGAGCTGAATCCTCCTCCAGAGCTGGAGCCTCCTCTAGAGCCACCRCCAGAGCTGAATCCTCCTCCAGAGCTGGAGCCTCCTCTAGAGCCACCTCCAGAGCTGAATCCTCCTCCACCACCACTTATGGAACCAGACCCTCTGCCTCCAGAGCCGTAACTGCTACTTCCAGAGCTGAATCCTCTACCTCCAGAGCCCTGGCCTCCAAAGCCAGCCCTGGATGCCACACTTGAAGATATGGTGCTGCTTGTCACGGCTGCAGGAGAGAGAATGTTACCACAGAAAGTGCTGCCCACCCTGCCTGCTGCACCCCACACACCACCCCATAGGACAGGACCACACCCCACTACTTACACACAGTCACGTTGTTACTGCATTCTCCAGACATCCTGTCAGGGAGAGAGAGAAACGGATTTGTGGCAGAGTACTTAAACTGCATGCATCTTGCTTTTTTAACTTCCATCTACAAGTGTACAGTTTAGACACTAAAATCAGCCACCAAGGACTACCCTGTCTTCATACCACTTTGCTTTCTCTTTCAGAAAAGATCAGGGTGCTTAAGTTCTTGCCTAATATATTTTAATATGCCTGTTAGTCATTCCATACTGATGAATAGGCAACTCTACACCAATGTTTTGTGTCTGCAATTTTGGCTTAGGGAGCATAGAGAACGCCAGAACTCAGCTGTCAGAAGCCCTGTCCCCACTCTGTTTTCCCTGCCTTCACTGCAGCCCTGGTAGGAGGAGAAAGAAGGTGGCCCAGGGTTCCCTTCTCCCCTCCCAGTGCCCCTCACCTGTACTCCTCGCCCTCCAGCAGCTTGCGGTAGGTGGCAATCTCCACGTCCAGGGCCAGCTTGGTGTTCATCAGCTCCTGGTAGTCACGCAGCAGCCGGGCCAGGTCCTCCCGGGCCTGCTGCAGGGCCTCCTCCAGCTCTGTGAGYTTGTTCTTGGCATCTTTGAGGGCGTTTTCTCCACGCTGCTCAGCATCTGCAATGGCATCTTGCACACTCTTACACTAGGAGAGAAGGAGGGAAAGTTTCTGTTTATACAGAGGGTAGAATCTGCCCAGCAGAAGGAGACAGGGAGCAGAGCTGCCCAGTTTGGGAGACCTGAGTGGCTGGCCCCAAAGTGCTGAGTGCCTCCTGAAGTGAATGCAAGTCACAGACACTGTGCTAAAACTTGCTGCTGTCTCTGGGGTATCTTCCTCCCACCTCCCCTTTGACCAGACCCTTAGGCTTTCTCCATGATGTCCCTGATCCTCATAGCACAGGGTCTGGATCACTGTCCTATTCTGATGCAAATGAAGAGGTTCCATGCAGAGTGCTTTGCAGGACTTCTGCTCAAGGAGTCAACTCTCCCCTCATTATCTGCTCCACAGCTAATGTCCAATCCCTGGCCAGCCCCTCCAAAACTCAGGGTACCGCTCCTACCCCTGGTCTAAACCCAGTCTGCTGGTGCCTAGGCCTGTGCCACACACAAACACAAAACTATGTCTGCAATCCTCAGGGGGAAACAAAAGACTTTTGCCTTTTTTGCTGCTGCTTCTTTGACTCAGGTAGGCAGCCAAAAAGTGATCACAATTATTTCCCTTCACTAATCCTTATTTTGAAACGTCTCTTAGACCACTCTAAAAATTGTTACAGCCTTGAATTAGGTTTAGGGAGAGAGGATCAGGATCAATAYAAACTAGATTAGAAGCCCTCAGTGTCTCCTGTCTCTCTCCCACACATAAGCACACACAYACTCTCACACACACAGTTACCACTGTCCACACCACCCTGAGCTCTACTCAACCAGTGGAGCTGGACCAATCCTAAGGGGAGCACCTCACCTGCTTCTTCACGTGTGAGATCTCCCCTTGCAACCTCTGGATCATGCGGTTCAGCTCGCTGATCTCCATCTTGAGCTCTTTCAGGCTCTCKCCATGTCTCCCTGCAGTGACCTGGAGCTCCTCATACTGATATGGGAAGAAGAGGACAGTTCACAGGGGAGTCCAGCCTGGGGCAGGCTCAACTTGACCCAGTGGCTATCAATCTGGACACTCTTTCTTGGGAATGATGCCCAACTTTGCCCAACTTCCATTAAAGAAGCACACCAGTAATCTTACTGTGCGTGTCCTGGCTGGGGTGAAGCCCAGCTTGCAAGGACCTGTGGCTCCTCCTAGTTCCCCAGCACTTGCCTTGCTATGGTACAGGGCCTCTGCCTCGTCCTTGCTTCTCTGAGCAATCTCCTCATACTGGGCCTGAACCTCAGCAATGATGCTGTCCAGGTCCAGGCTGCGGTTGTTGTCCATGGAGAGGATGACGTTGGTGTCAGTGATCGTCTGGTGAAGCTGAGACACTTCCTACAACACAAAGGAGATCTGGCCATGACCTTCTGCCCACAGCCACATAGACTCTCAGAGTAAGCATGCCCTGGTGGGATGCTATGCCTAGGCCTCTCCTGAGGTTGCTCTCGGAACTATGGCGGGGGGTCTGGGTTTCTGAGCCTCCTAGTCAACAGCTTTCACCCCTTATGCCTGTAAGTGCCTCAGAAAGAAGCCCATTCATGGCAAATACCTTCATTTTTTTCTTTCTATTTCACAAATCATGTGCGCCTCTAGACCAGGGAGAGGGATAAGGAGACATAATGCATTTTTATCTCTGAAGTATACTGGGMAGAGAAATAGGCACAGGGCAATCTCTTCCTAAGGGAAGCTGGGCTTGTAGGGGATTGAGGGAGGAGAGTTGGAGTGGTATTTCTTGAACCTAACATCCTATGACATCAGAGAAGAAAATCCTTCTCCCTCAACACCTGAGTTATGGAAGTTCCTAGTGGGGGGATGGTGGCACCTTGAATTCGGTCAAGACATAAACCCCATTCTTTCCTCCGTTTCACCAATTGAGTAGGACTTCCCTTTGGTGGAAAGGGTAGACAGTAAGGATATAATCCAGGAGAAGGCTTCTTACCGCCTCATAGAGTGTTCTCAGGAACTCAATCTCCTGGGTGAGTAAGTCCACATTGATCTGCAGATCCACCTTGTTCGTGTATCCATTGTCCACATCCTGCAGGGAAGGTCAGGGGTCTCTGGTGAAACTCGGATGGTCCTCCATACGGTTCCAGACACTCTCCTCTACCCAGTGCCTGTGAGCTGCTCTCCAGTATCTCAAGCACCTCCAGATAAGCCACATCCTGACAGAGCCTCATTTGGTGTGTGGTTCACCATGCTCCTCTGCAGGATGCTCCATGCCCATGCCCTCTGCTCATATCCCCAAGACCAAAAGAGCTTGCATGGAACAAAGCTTTGCTAACCATTCTGTCTCCTGTTTGAGACATGGTGTGTTCCCACAATGGGTACAATGGCCTCTGTGGACTTCCATAGTCCTCAACCCTCCTCTCCTGTCTGTCCATCCCATCTCTCCTGAATTTCCCTGGATTCTATTCCAAGTTCCCTGCAGGAAAATTATCTCCAGAAGCTTGAACTGCAGAAACCCTATTTTTTCCATAAGAACTGGCCACAGACATGTCATCCCTCTCTGGCTACTGTGCACTCACAGCTGTTTTCCAGCCTTCCTGTTGGGACATGATGGTGTGTGAAGCACCCTGTTCACATCCCAGCCATGGCATCCTCTTGCTTACCTTTTTAAGTGTCACAAAATCATTCTCGAGCGCTGTACGCTTGTTGATTTCATCCTCATACCTGTTGGGACCCAGATGATGAGGCAGTTAAATTGGTTCTAGTTTATTTATTCTTTTCTTTTCCTTTTTCTACTGGATTCACCTGAAATGCCCATTCTCTGAGAATATTAAACACTCTTTAAACACCTAAATTAAAACTATGATACCCCAAATAAGGATAGATTTCTATAAGTTAATCTCAAACATGTGAAAATATGATCTCTAAAACCATAAGTTCTTCCTCACAGGTAAGTGACAGATACAGACACCTCTCCCCTTTGTCACCACAAATGTCACTGGGAGAAGAGTGACTGGATGTTCCCTTAAGTATCTATCATCACACATCTACTTCACCTACTTCTTCTTAAAATCCTCCACAAGATCTTGCATGTTGTTCAGCTCTGAATTCTGCGAGGTTCTTTCTGCATTAAGCCCATCCACTTGTTTCTTGAGCATACTGATATAGGCTTGGAAGATGGGGTCTAGGTGGGTGGTCCTGGAGCTCACATCTATTTGCTGCAGCAATTCCCATTTGGTCTGCAGCACCTGGTTCTGCTGCTCCAGGAAACGGACCTGCCATGACCAAAGAAGAGCACATCAGGTCTGGTTCTCCCTTTGCACCAGCAAGACATGCTCGTCCCACACCAGCTCTGGTGCTGCTCTGGGGAGTAAGGAAGTCATAAGATTTTATGCTCCACAGCCAGAGGGAGGCTGGATAGAGCTGGGCAGAGCTTCTGAGGTCCCTGCCCTCACACTTGGAAAGTTCTACGGCTCCTAAAGCTATGCCGGGCCCTCTCGGTGCACACAGCTCTATTTCCTACACCCACTGTTTTGTTTGCAACTGCTCCCAAGACTCCAGGCCATTTCCTTCCCTCCTCCTAGTTACATTCCCTGCCAAGGTCCCATAAATTGTGGAGAAAACCAAAAGCAAGCACCCACTGGCGCTGTAACCCAAGATGCTGAGCACATGTCCCAGAGGGCAGGGCTCCTTGCCTGGTTTTGAAAGCCTTGTAAAGTCCTGACTAATTCAAGGCAGACAAAACAACAGACAGGTTCATCTGCCTTGAAATAGGAGAAAACCCAGTTACACCCCAAAGTGACACCAATAAAGACTTTATGGGTGACAAAACTGAGAACACTTCTCTTAAAGGCCAGAGTTTCATTCAGCTCCAAGCATATATTTCAAGTTCTGCTTCCCAGAATTTCATAGAGTAATCACTTTCCAGGGAAGGAGAAACTACCTTGGAAGAAGTTTTCTCACCAATCGCTTTCTGAACCTGCTGTCACATAGCCTGACCTGTTCAGTCCACTAATTGCTATGTGGATTTTTCTGTGATTATCAGGATTTTCCATACATATTAGTTATTTGGACTGAAAAATAAAACCGAAGAGACAAATAATTCCTAACTGTAGACTGTTGCGGGAAACCGAGCCTTCAAAGCCAGCATCTATGCCATGAAGAATTTGCAAATAACCCAGGCTGCAATGGCCACACCAAGGGGCTTCTAGAAGGAACGAATCCGTGTCCTTTCTTTTACAATTAGCCCTGAAGGAGCCAGCTTCTTCCATCTCACCTTGTCGATGAAGGAAGCAAATTTGTTGTTGAGAGTTTTGATCTGCTCCCGCTCTTGAGACTTCACGTTCTGGATTTCTGGGTCAACTTTCACGTTGAGTGGCTGCAGGAGACTCTCGTTGACAGAGACTTCGTGGATGCCACCACCAGGGAATCCTCCAGGGCCAGAACCACCAGGGCCACCAGGACCCCCAAAGCCTCCAAAGCCACCAGGACCTCCAAAGCGGCCTCCACCAAAACCGCCACCTCCGAAGCCGCTGCCGCCGCCAAAGCCACTGCCTCCACCGAAACCTCCGCCGCCAAAGCCGCTGCCGCCTCCAAAGCCACTGCCGCCTCCAAAACCGACTCCTCTGCCACCAAATCCACCACCGGAGCCAAAACTTCCACCTCCTCCAGCCACACTTATGGAGATGCTCTTGGTCCCTCCAAGGCCAACAAGACTCCGACTGCCAAAGCCGCCTCCACCGTAGCCCCCTCCGCCACCTCCATGGCGGCTCAGGCAGGAGAAGCCCGAGGTCGATCTCCGGCTAGCCCCGGAGACCACAGCGGAGCCGCTACTGAAGCCCCGGTATCCTCCGCCGCCGCCGCCTCCTCTGCGAGATCTGCACGAGATCTGACAACTCATGATGCCTTTGCCCAGCAAGAAAGGTGGAGGTTCGGAGAAGAGCTGAGGCTGGAGACTGCACTGTGCTGTTGGGAGACTGTCAGGGTCCCCTTATATACCTGCCGACTAGGTGTTGGTGTGCATGGGTGTGGGCCCACTTATACATGGGTTTGGTCTACCTGGAAGCTATTCCTGGTGAGTGATTATCAAACTTAATAGCCATTAAAAAAAAAAATCTACTAATCAGCTCCATTCCAGAACTTGCTTGGATTGCGAACTTCTGTTTATCTGGACATCTGTCATGCAATTTAATTTTTGTAAATTCATCAGAAGAGTAGATTAGGATTTGGGTTTCCCAACCTGAAAAAAAAAAAAAAAAAAAAAGGCCTTCTGCAGAATGCTGCTCCCTGTTCTGGATTGATCCAAGGGAGGCTGGCTACCACCCAGGCCTGTGTAGGGCTCACCAGCACAGATCTGCAATGGGAGAGAGGACAGATTTCCAGATGAAGCTAACCCCTCAGCCTTGTGGCCCTCCTGGCTTGTCCTTTCCCTTCAAAAGAAAGAGTTGAAACAAGAAGAAGGAAGATTCTGCAGAGCATGCTCATGATATGGGGAAATAAATAGGCATCATGGTGTGGTGCAAAAGAATTGTCATTTGTCAAAATATATTGGCTCTTTCCTTCCCATGCCACGCCAGAAATATGCAATAACCAGACATAGGGCAGAGGTGCATTCTATCCTGAAACTAGAAGTTTTTATAATCATCAACTCCATCACTTTCTATACAAAAATCCAAAAGGGCATATAAGGTTCCCTGATTCTGGGTCTGTGTGACTCCAGGCATTTGATGACAGGTTGCAATCAAGGCTTTACATAACTTCAAGATCCAAGTGTAGATTGACTTGGTGGTTCAGTAATCATGTATTGCCTGGTGGTTCTGTGAAGCAATTAGGAAAGCACGCTCTTTTCTGACATTCAGAGATGGATGAACATCAGAAGACCCATCCAGTCTAGCCAGTCACCAAAAGTACAGAGTACTCACACCCAAACTCAGCTACAGTCTCTCCTGTCTACGCAGTTAAGTATGTGGGAGAGACACTTTGGAGTAATAGAATTGAGCTGCAAGTCAAAAGTTTGAGTCCCAATTTTGCCATTTATTGGCTTGAACTAAACTCTGAGGCTGTCTTCTTATCTATAAAATGGGAAATGCACCTGAAATATTTTGAAAACTATGACGCATGATGTGAATGGTAGGTTTCATCATGGTTTTGAACAGGCAAAGATATTTCCTTTTCTTTTCGACCTTGCCATGTTATTCTCTTCCAGTGGATATGACCATGTACCCCATATAGGCATCGTTAATTCCAGAACCAAGATGTTCAGATCCTGACACAAAGTCAGCATAAAATCATGTTTAAAAAAATACAAAGTTTTAGCTTTAGTCCCAGTTTCATTGTATTTTAGAAAAATGATCTTGAATAATTCAGAGACTTCTTTAAGCCTCAGTTTCCTCATCTGCAGAATGAAGAAGGAGGAGGACAAAGATAATGTACACAGGTGCAGAAGACAGTTGCTAGTTAATAACAGAAACTAAATTTTATTTATCTTCCAGGTGCCTCCCAACAGTTTACCAACCTTGTCATAATAATAAAGTAGGGGTGGAGATGGGGATAAATCACTAGTCAAGATATGTGATTTGCAGTTAAAAAAAATGCTGAAGAAAGCAAATTCATGGGTTTCCTTGATTTTTTTCCCAATCTGGCTTATATAATCATAATCATGCAAATAAACCATAAAGCTAAAAGCTTTGGAGAAAGTCTCAACCCAAAGCCAAATGTGTCATTATCTGTGGATATCTAAACTACGCCCTAATTGCCCATTATTCCACTATGACTATGCTGAGGCCATGCCAGCATCAGGGGGGTCTTAATCCCTCTGTGAAGGAACATTTAGTGAGCYTCCGCCTGTCCTAGGCTTGTGCTGGGCTCTTGGTCTGCATGTTTTACTGCATTTTATTTTTTAATAGTTTTATTTGTTTTTAGATATACTTGACAGTAGAGTGTATTTTAACATCATACATACGTAGAGTGTAACTTAGTCTACTTAGGATTTTTGCTGCATTTTAATCCTTTTTTTCCATCCTCTTCACCAAGCATCTTCCCTTTCTAGACCCATCCAGTGATGTGTGAAAATCAAGTTGAAGGAGCATCTTTTCCTCTCTTGAAATGTGGAGGGTAGAATTCATGCAACTTAGATATTCTGTGGCATGTTATTTTCAGATTTTTAAAAATATTTTGCCTTTTGTATAGTCTTAATGTGTTTTTCTAGAATAATATGCTTTGCATTCTTTGAGGGACTGAAATGTCAAAAAGTTAAGATTCTTGGTCTGACTGTGATTTTTGCCACTCATTTCCACTGTGGTCCTCAATTTCTTCATCTATAAATGGGAGCATTTATCCTGGATCGCCACTATCTCACAAGGACAGTGGCCTATTGGGATAAAGGGTTTAAAACTTTGTTGTCTCTGAAAACAGGACAGAAATCCTATAGAACAAAATCCGTCTTCTGGCTTCCCAGTTCCTTTTGCAATGAGCAGCCAGTAAGCCCAAGATCCAATATGTTTTTCCCTATAGGTTTCAAAAGCACAAATGTCGGCCAGTGGGGCAGAAACTGAGCCTCTCTGTTAAGCCGTGAGGGAGTTGACTGTATAAGTGATGGAAAATAAATTAAATTCTCAGCCATGCATGGGTGTTGGCACCAAATTCTCTGGGAGGGAATAAATACCCCCTCCCTTCCACTTTCTTAGCAGTGTGTTCACTCCCCTACAGTCCTCTTTGTTTTACAATAAGCCATCTCCCTGGACTTCCACAGGTCAGTGTGGGTCAAATTTATCTTTACCAGAAACCTCCATGCCCTTGGCACAGAGTGCTCACTCAGGGAACAAGCCTATCATGAAAAAGCCATCCCGCATCAGGATCGCCCTGATGTGCAGGTGGGACGTTAGCAATGCTGAGTTCACAGCCTCTCATGGACCTGGTCCCTATCGATCCCACCAGGAGAGCTCTCACGTTCTGTCCTAGCCCCATCAAGGTTCTGTTCTCAGGCCCACGGGGTTCCTCTCTCAGTCCCAAAGACTCAGCCATCTGCAGAAGGGAGTCAAAAAGCTCTCCCCAAATGGAAACCAAGTCTTTGAATTTAAGAAGCAAAAACAAAGAAACAAGCCAAAAACCCTCCTCCTCCAGCCCCTGCCGCTGGTTTCGGGCTGCTCAAGGGCCCAACATCCACAGTGTCCAATCATGTTGAGAAAGAGGTTCAGACAACAGAGAACTGGAAACGAKCTGTCCGAGCTCTCTGTCCCCTCAGCAGAGCCCCAGCAAGGTCACTGCTCTCTGCATCGCCTGGGACTGCCAGCATGTTTCCTCAGAGCACCAAGCTGCTGCTCCAAAATTGCTCTGCAGCTCCAGTGGCTCTGAGGGAAGGTGGGACGGGAGGCTGACAGGCTCCCAACAGGAGCCACTTGCTCAATATCTGCCTCCAGGGCATTTCTTCGTAAATGATTATTTAAAATTGCTTACTCAGTCTAAAGTCCCAGCCCCTGACCCAGTTCTGCATCTCAGCTTCAGGTCCCCTCCTTTCTTACCCAACATGTCCTTTTTGGTGTCTTTGTTTTCCTTTGGCCCCTTTTCTCCCAGTGAAACCTGTTGYGGTTGAGTTTTAGGGCCCCCCACCCCCCGACAGACTGGTTGTAACTGAGAAGCCAGGCTGGTGGGCAGCCGGTTCCGCCTGCAGCACGGAGGRCAGAACGCATTCTGGAATGAGGAGATTCCAGGACATCCACGCCCAGCTCCTCAAGAGAGCAGGGTGTGCTCACTGCTCAGACACAGTGCAGACCCCAGAAACAGAAGCAATCAGGGCAGGGACACTGCTGGGTCAGGCAGGTGTTCAACACATGCTGGTTGAATGAAGGAAGCCATCCAGGGAGCAGTGATAAGCACGTCCATGAAGGGAGACCCCAGCACCGTGCTCAATGAATGTCAGCTCCTTTCCAGTTGCTGCGGCCATGCATGTCACAGGAAGTTCTAATTTTTTWAAAGGGCTCCAAAATATCTGACTCTGAAAATGGCAAGCTATACATTCTAGTGTTGTTCTGGGTGGGACCCATCTATGATTGGATTAGCTCGGTTTTGTGTAATGGGCTTCCTATAATTGACCTTGGCCCCCACCATATTTGTTAAAATACTGCCCAGTGAATGAAAAGTATGTGGCATCCATGCATGAGTGTTCCCATGTCTTCACTCACACAGAGAAAAGTGCAAAAGTGTCCTCCATGAACAGCTTTCATTGTTCCAGCCAAACTGTTTTCCCTGAACCAAGTTCTCCTCTCAGACCATTGTCATTATCTCATCTTTGTCCATTACCTAGGGAGCTACGCAAACCTGGAAGGACAAGACAGTTGTCAGACATTCCACCTCCTCCTGGTCAGCATTTGAGAACAAAGGGGTTATCATTACCAGATTTCCCTGGATTGAACACTGCCCCTTTCTTGTCCAACCCTTCCATCTTGGGAAACCCTCTCACTAATTCCATTTTGCACTGCTGCCATTAAAGTCAAAATTCACTTTTGGTGCCTCTATACAGACATCTGCTAAATTTTCAGCAATACCCTTTGCCAAGTGCACCCAGAGATTTCCATCAAATACTGCAGCCCTTGCCTTCAAACCCACCCCATCTCCTCCCATCGTGCCCCCACCCAGCACTCGGTGCTGCCCCCAGCCCCATGTACTCTTTTTTACTCCTTTCAGCACTTTCTGTGTTGAGTTCCACGGAGAAAACTGTAGGAGGAGCCTGGTGGAGACACGCCTTCTACCCCACAAAATGAGACAGAATAAGCATTAAAACAACTTTATTTTTGAAAGACCAAATTCAAGTTATTCCTTATCCTCAATCTAGCAACAAAGTTTTTAGAGACACTCTCACAACTGCAGGCCTCATTTTGGAAGGAATGGCCACAGGCTTGATTC